ATGAAAAAAGAATAATGAAAGCCATCTGTTGAAGATGTACTGAATAAGGAATGAAATATTCAATAAACATGATTTTTATCAGTCTTTCTGGATTCTCATATTGTGGAATCAACAGAGTGGAATCAACAGAGTATACCTAGTTCGCAATGGTTCAGTTTCGCCATACAATACATTGCTCAGTTCGAAAATTAAAAGCGCACGCAGGTATACATTCTCGGGGAGCCAATTATTCAATATTGTTGCCTTAAAGCCAATTTAATAAGTGTGCACTACTATCGTTCGTTTTGCTGCGAATTCCACCAGGCAGTTTGCAAATTTCCCCCACTGCACTGTTCTTCATTTTTTCTTACTCTTGCAGAATTTTATGTTTGAATATTCGGGTGCTTGACAAACCAAGCCACTGCCTTGAAGGTCAGTGCAGTGGTAATTCACAAAACACGTGCAGTCACAGCGCTCGTAAAACACTGTGGTCAGCATCCCGCTGTGAATTACCACTGCACTGTCCGTGTACAATCAAATTTCATGTCGCTTCTATCGAGAGTGTCCGAGTAATGAGAAGATGTTCCATTTCTCCACAGTCTCATCTCATTTCCCACTCGCAGAAACCCGGAGGTCAGAGGGCATTGGTCTAAGGCCTCAACAGGGCTAACCCATGGCACAGACATAAGTTCCAAGAGCCATCCAAAGGCCCACAGAGTTTGTTAACGACATTTTTGGGTAAGTGCATGTATACTTGAGGCTGTGATGAGGGGGGAGTTACATTTATACCTTGCTGTCAGTTTATCAGTCAGAGACATGATTCTTGTTAATGAACTGCATGGGGTTAGACTTTACAACTTTCATGTCGAGCTGTTAATCATATATGCGTGTAGCATAATGCATATGCAGTGTTTTGAGGCGAGATCCAATCGCGATGTTTTAACAAAAAATGCGTGGTGCTGGGTTACTTTTACCGCGAGGCAAAATATATCAGTGTTATGTGCTTGATTTATTGGATTCTTGTCTGCCCTTCTAATTTGACAATGATTTGCAAGGCAAGGTGCACACCCTCCAAGAACGATCGCACGCAGCAGCCTATTAAACATGATGCTGGTCTGAACCAATCAGCGTGCTCCGTCCAATTTCGGTAGCAAATTCAATATGAGACATATCAAAGGGCTTGCAGACCAAGGTTGCATTCTACGTTCCCAGAGTTTTTTTTCGCGCTGTTATCGCCCGTTGTACGGCCCCTGGAGTCGGTAGCGAACCCGGTGGATTATAGCACCCGGCCAATTACCGACTTGATTGCAAGTCTACATGTTGGTCACATGTGAATACAAAATACCCTTTAATGACTTTTTACTTGCAGTCTTGTGAATCTTTTGGTACTAAATTTGGAAATTAGATGTGTTTCACACGATCGACCCCCTGTAAATGCACGCCCCCCATAGGGGAAGCCCAGTTGGAGGGGGTTCAAAATGATTGCATCCTAAACTTCTACAATGCCAAATATTTGTACATGTACATTTGAAAATTGTTCTTTCTTGGGTTTGTTACAGATGGTAAACCAACAGACAAAACCCCCTTCCAAGTCTACATCATGGATATCTTCCAGCACCTATATCAGAGGCTGCAGCAGCAACGGCGAGCTGAGAGTAGGAACATACCTGAACATTTGGTAAAGAAACCTTGAATTCAGACCAGACCCCGTTCTAGTGGACTGAACCATTGGTTTTTGTGCAATTTGTTGTAATGCTACTTCAGAAAGTCATCAAGAAATTGAAAGAGGAACATTCACGGCAGGTCACTTCTTTCATTTTCTTTCAGTTTTAAGCAAGAACTGAAACGTGAACGATTGCGAACAGCCCCGCTTGCACGGCAGACGACCTCCTGAAAACAGACAGTTCCAGACAGCTGTCACTGATGAGGAAAATTCCACAGTCTGCCTCAGGCACTGTTTTGTAAATAACCCATTAGATTGTACACAAGGGGCCACGCAGTCCTATGGGAATTGGCTGGAGGCTGGCTGGAGGCTGGCTGGAGGCTGGCTGGAGGCCGGCTGGATTTTTTTTCTGGCTAGGGAAGGCCCTTGCTGTAAAGTGATTAAACCAGGTTTTTCAGCATGTACATGTTAAGTTAGTTAATAAACGACTATTTATCATATCCTACCCCTGTAGGATATGATAAATAGTCGTTGCATTTGGACAAAAAAACAAAAACGTTTATTAACTCCAGTGGACTCGCCAAGAGTGGCTGCTCACTCTACCGAGGGGTGTCTCGTGTTTACGGTGGGGCCCGGTGTCCGATAAGGAACTTACAATTCAGAGTGGATTTCTTGATCAGGCAGATAAAGGCTTTCTTATTAAAGGCGAGTGTGCAGAGCGCCTAATGTCTCTACAGATACCTCCAGTGAAACGAGGAAAGGCACAGATGACATCCGCTAGTGTTCAGAAGACAAAACGCATTGTTAATTTGCGAATCTTGGAGGAACAGGTGATAAGGCGTATAAAAGTATCCGCATTTTGAAATACGAGTTGCCTATCAGTCTTGCACCTCATATTGACAAAATCGCCAGTGTCTGTGCTCGATTAGCTAATCTACAGAAGCCCGTCTATTCAAAATAGGCTTGAATGTTGACCTCGGACTCTGTAATGTCAGTAATATATGAGTATACAAGTTTATATTAAGACAGCTTTCCAATGAGAACACGGCGGTCCAATGTACAAACCCCTTATATTGACCATGTAAGTTGTGGACACCTATGAATGGCAATTAGGTGGAAGCTGCACCAAACACGTTTCATTATGTGTTTGAACTGGTTTTATTACAATTAAAGAAATTGCTCACTTACATGTACATGTATTTGTCTACTAACTTCTTTTAAGCAGAATATAAATATGGGAAAGATTTCTACATGCATTCGGTACTGTCACTTATTTTCTGCCTCTAAAGTGACAACACCCCAATAGTATTTCACATGTACTTGTAAAAATATAAGCATCTTAGCAAAAAAAAGTCTCAGAGGGTTTGTACACAGCGTGATGAGTGAAAGTAGCAGTTGGAAATCTTTCCCAGGTGGGTTTAAGAATAAGTGAAAAAAATAAGGTGCCTTGTTAGTAGTAGTTGTACCAACACAAACTTTGCCGTGTTGTGCTAAATGAAGTCGTCTGTACGGGTGCATGAGCAGAGATATGAGATGCTAGCCTATCATGCCTATTTTATATACTAACCTCTTCTATTTCCTCTCCATGGAGGAATAAATTGGGCTCTCTGGGCGCGGATCTTGGCTTTCTGATGATTTTTAGTGTGTGTACGTTCATGTGGGTGGCTGTGTACTACTGCCAACACCTCCAATAAACACACCCTTCAACAACGTTCACACGCTTATTACCAAAATTTATATCAAAACCTAATGAAATACTAACATCCAAATGTGTATAATGTCTAAGAAACTGACGTCGAGTTCGGGCGGCCCGTTGTTGACACAGGTTTCTTGTTTTCATGTGCATGTTGCTTGTCACTAACTACCATCGATAACCGGTTGTTTGTTCCCGGCGTTCGAGTGGCCGACCCACGAACAACAAATCAAGCTGTTCGTGAACATATGGGAACAAACCGCCCGAACTCGGCCTAAGTGAATGAGCTACACTACTTGATACGCATATGAATAAATGTCACCTAGCCTAGAGTAGGTTATGGGCCTACAAAAAGTACAACCACACATTACAGCAGTAAAAGATGTAATGGCTCCTACAGCTACATGCACTACACCAATATTGTTAAGTATGAACTTAACAGTATTAAAGGAATTCAGTAGACAAATTTGCATCTAGCAAGACTAGGGTGCTCTATTTATAAACTGGGGTGATCAAACTCCAGTAGACTGGCATGATCTATTTACAAAAATGGGGGTGATCAAAAAGGACACTACAATGCCAAAATAAACCAGCTAATGCATAGGAGTTGTGAAATGTCACTCTGCCACACACATGATTGCTGAATAATCAGACTAGTGGAACTCCTTCATTGGGTGGGGCATTTATTAGGCCTGCAACATTTTGAATGGCCCATTTTAAAGGAAATGTAGTGGAACCAACGTCACTGTTTTCGAGAACTATACCATACAAGTCAACTGTCAAAATTCTAGCCCAAATGGTAAATCCAATGAGAGAAATCGGCAAAAAACAAAGCATTTTTGCATTGTAACCGCTATTTTCCAAAGGTTGTACAACATAACCAGCTTTAAAACCAAATCAGCTTCTGGATGCTTTTGCTCTTTTGGGTAATTAATTATTAAATTAATTAATTAATAGTAATTAATTATTAAATTAATTAGCTGTACCTTCCCTTCAAATACCTTGTAACTATTGTGTGGTAATGCCAGGTCATGACCTGACATTCAGAAGGCACAAAGGAAGCACCTCCAATCAAGGCATGATGCATCATCAATGTTTATGCAGGCGTTGTGGTACCTCATCGCGCAAACACTGCATTTCACAAAACTGCTTGGGCCTGTGACATTTTGATCACAAGCAGCACAAATATAAACAGCAGGGTATGGGGACTTAAAAAGCAACTTCTGCTTGGCACACTTTGCAGGTTGGGCACTTTTAGTTTGCAGAGGGTTCAAAGGCAGCATGTCAGTGGAAGGATTCGCGAAAGTGTGGTCACGAAGATCTGCCATTTTACTACATTTCATGGATTGTGAAATTAATTCTGGTCCAACATATTTGAACCAGAAATATTCAGCTCATTCAACCATCTCCCTAAAAAGAACTGAATCAAATTCAATGCGTTCAAGATGATTGCCTTTAGGTGTGTAGACAAAGAAATCACCGTAACTTACTTCCAAAATTACCATTTGGAATTGTATCTGGAAATAGTAGTACGGTGCTCTAGAAAACCGACACTGACCATTCTCAACACTAATCAAGTGCTTGTAATTATCACTGGATGGAGAGTCTCATTTAAGAGAGTACGGACACTTGATTTCACATACACCCCTTCCGTGACATAAGCATGAAATTATGAGGTCTGGGGATGCTCCAAGAAACTGCTTCTTGTGAGAGATAATCAGACCGCTATCTTTTCCTTGAAATTTCTTGTGTTGTCTAGCCATTGTCTTCTTATATGCCTGTTTTGCATGTGGTTCAGTTGAACTACCATACCTTATAGCAACCGTTTGGGGAACATTTTTAAAACCCATTATTGCTTTGATCAATGAGGAGCTATTAAGTGTTGGGTCTCTCTTCAGCGATGCGACCCTTGTAAATACATTTTGAATTTTGCTTGCAGTTATCCTTCCTTGCAGATGTTCCAGCCACTCTTTGGAAGATGACTGATTCACTGTGAGTTCACACACAGTATTGATATCACCTTTGGTCAAACACACCTTGCTGATAAGTTCAGTAGCATCTTCATAGGCTGTTTAGCCATTGCTATTAAAGTTGAAGGTCTTAATACAGCTTCTTTCTTTGGAAATGGCATGGCATCCATCAGCTGTCGGTAGCAGGAGTCCGGTGCATATCTTCTCACTGCTTTGTCTAGGTGGTCAAATGTATCTGCTATTTTTGTTTTGCTGGAAGTTGGTGTGAATTCTACATTCCGCTTTGAAACCGACTCAACAAAATTTTTGGCGGTCTGAAAAGAGAAAAGAAATAGGTAATATCCACAAATAAAAATTAACAGCAAGAGCACAAACCTTTGTATTTTACCCTGTGCTGAACCATGATATACTTAAACTTAGATAGTAATTACAGGTCACAACAGTTAATTTGAGCAGTGATATCAGCATTTTCTTAGCAAAACACTTCGAATTTGACCAGTCGCATAATGTTTTTACACAGGGTGTCCAGTGAAAGTAGTACATGTACAGGTATATGGAAATCTTTCTGATTACAGAAACTGTTTATTAGAAAAGTCTTCAGATGTAGCCATCTTTGTAAAAGAAGAATTATTCCACAATTGAAAAAGAAGCCCTCAGTCTTATATTGTATATTTTGAAGTATATGTTTCTTGACCATTTGTAGTTACGGTTCTGTACTGACCACTGTGGACCAGCCTGTGCCTTGCCCGTGGCCGTCTGCCCAGGACACGGTCCCTTGCCATCCCCGATGACCATGCTTACCACTGTCCTTGTTCTGGGCCGGCATTGAGGTGCAACTCTCAGCTGATGGTGCCGGGGGCATGATCCCTTGCTATAAGCAATGACCACGCTTACCGCTGTCCTTGTTCTGGGCCAGCACTGAGGTGCAACTCTCAAATGATGGTGCCGGATGTTTCCAAACTCTATCGCGTTCCAGTTTTGCGACTCCCGAATGGACGGTCAAGCTCGGGTCAGATTCCCACCCGGAGGTACCTCCCTTTCTTTTCCAATGGCCAAACGTATGATTTGAAATTTATGTTATTTATACTGTACAAAGAATTGCTGTTGTCACACCTGGTCCATTTATTTAGTCCATTTGTAGTAATTTGTAATTTGTAAATAATTAAAATAATCTTAATTCTGATTCCAAAGAAAATCCACTTATTCCGATCATCTTTTATCAGTGTGTTCTTTTCCCAAATGTTTCATTTTTGTCTGATTGCGTTGTTTGCCGAGACATGCGGTGACTTTGTAACAATGGGTACATGTATGTAATGCCAACAGATGCATGTGTGCCGAATATATCACTATATAACCTTCTTCAGGACTTTCAACGCATACATGTCCTCAATAATCATACATGTGAAAATAATATGTTACAATCTGCTGACATCATGATGGTTAAATGTAATTACTCAGCTGGGCACGTACAGTATAAAGATAACACTTTGCCACCTGGTCCTTTGGAAGATTATTTCTCCACTGCTACCCACACTTGATACGGGGATCCAGACTTCATGGATGGCTTGACCTTGCTGCTCAGGAAGCACACACACGCATTTGGGATGATTGGGTGATACAAGACTGCTTCCATCCATCCACAAGAGAAATATCTGAAAGGGAACAAATAAACAGATAACTTAGAGGATAGTAAAGCAACAGTGTGCTCTATGAGCATACAGGTCCACATAAGGAGTTGCTTTTCAATAACACTGCACAAGAAATGTACTATAAAATTGCCTGATACGTGTTTTGGAAAAAAATGACATTCTTTAACAAACTCCTTAGAAATTTGCTAAAGATTAACCTGTATTAATTAAATTTGCCTGCATCTCAGGCCACTATGTTCGGCCAAGCACATATTTTCTTTAAATAATTACCTTCAACATTGTTGATCTTTCCATTAAATATTAACATCTCAACTTTTCAAATTAAATGTTCGGTTATGTACAAAATAAACGATTTAATCTGAAATACAAGAAAAAAATAATAAAATAAAGAAAAAGATGGCAGGACAGACACATAGCTTGAGACAAACATAGACCAAATATTGGCTGGAACAAAACAACAGCCAAAACCAAAGGAGATGCAGAAACATGAAAGATTCAAACTAGAAATGGCCTGTGAAGCACATGTTAGTAAAACAGCAAACGAACTACAATAAATGAGATATGGCAGACAGGGAGTGAGATTGAGACACACACATACATGTACACACTACGAGAGATTTTGGAAGGCAATTCTACCATGTTCAGGCTGTGAGAAGTCTTTGACTTGTATCTACATCATTTCAACCTGTGGTGGCGAGTTTTCTGTGGAGCAACACTCGTAAGAAATGTTAGTCCAGACAAAGTGAAACTTGTGCAGAGCTGAATTTGGTTCCAGAAGAGACAGTTTGTGAACCGAGTGTTGGATCATCAAGTCCCATATTTGCCATTTGGTCTCGAACTTGGTCATTCTTATACGACATGGTCTTTGTCCCCCTTGCAGCTCATTTTTGCATTGTCAAGGACTGAACTGTTTTTTTCGCCATCTGTAGAGTTCATCAGTCTTCGCTGTTGTGCTTGCTAAGCTCAAGATTGCACTTAAGACCATAAATATAAGATTGTTTTTGATTCTTTATCCTTATCATTGTAAACTACATGTAGTTCCAATCAGCATTTTCTTTGATATTCTTTTACATGCTATACATGTAAGTGTAACATTGTTGTCACCCTTCTTTTGCAGACGTCCCCAAATTCAAAATCCCCAAATTTTCACCAGAGGTGGAAAGCGTTGTTACAGAGGTACATGTAAACTGTGCTTAGGGATTTTCTGAGCAAAATAAAGTCTGTCAAGAAATGGTTTCCTTGTAAATTTTGTGGCTATAAACTCATTTCTGTCTTAAATGTACCTTGGCCGTAAGATGTGCTGAGAATGTGTTTAAGGTGGCCTCTGATTTAGTCAACATGGGCATTAACATAGATAATCAGCTGTACATCCGAAGGCTAAGGATAGTAGGATTGAAAAAGTCCTAAAACAAAACTCGATGCAACCTCGTCTTTAAATTCTACGCCCTACAGACTCCTGAAGTCCTGGGAGGATTTTAGTAAATTGAAAAACCTGGCCTCAGTCACATGTGAGTACTTATGGATCGTTGGGGTTTGGTATGCTGAACTACCGGTAATCGTTTCAAAACCGTGTAATATCAGAACTGGTTAACAGCAATCTATATTGTAGGCACAACTGCAGTGCAATCAGTACTCGAAGTCGAAGCTCACTAGGCCAACTGTCCCCCTTTTCAACTAGACTACATGCAGGCTGGGCCTACTGTAAAACGTCTCAGCCTCAAAGGCGCGGCTATTGGCCTAAGCCTATATTCATTTAAAACAAAACAACGAAGCGAAAGTATGCTTACCTGACACTAAACTGGCATGTGGGGATCGCAAACCTCTTTGACAGCATGCAGGAAGGAATAAAAGCTACCGGTATTCCTTCCACCATGTTGAAAGCAATTCCCTTTTCTGCTGATATTTAGGCTTTCGGTAAAATCGCCGCAGACGGGGCTGTGGTACTATGGTGCAGCTAGCTCGAGCGGCAGCAACGCGAGGTTGAATTCGAATCAAGATGAAACTTGTACTGTTCTAAGATCCTTACCCAAGTGGATGTGTTTTTAAAAGTGGCAAATTCAAACAAAAGTCTTCAGGTAACTTAGTATAATTTTTAATTTTGATATTATTTTACAATGAAAAGTATTTTGTTTTCGGGGGATGGGGGCCGTGATAGACTGAAAGTCAATCCATAGTTTAGAAAATGGCGAAGCAATCACGCGGAGGTTCCAGAAAGTGCAGCCCACTATTTCAAGCAGGAATTTCAGGTAGGCTCATTAACATTAAAAATGCCCCCACAGTTTCTTCTTAAATAGAACATTGTTAAACACCCCCACAGGTGAGGTTGTGTTCATCGTTGGCAGGAACATCTCCGTGGATCTTTTGGCTTCCATCTCAGAGGGAAATAGCTAAACCGTACACTTGAAAAATGTTCTTAAGTGCCAAAACGTTAACGTTCCCCACTTGAAAAATGGCTTCACCAAGATATGGGAACATTCGAATTTCGGCGGGGGTGAAATTGATTAGGGGAATAAATTAACCGCTTAAATTCCCCCCCAAAAAGAAATTCACAGAAAGAAATAATAGTGTTTATAATTAACTATTTGTTGTGATAACCTCCAGGTAATTGGTATGAACAACGATGACTTTAAAATGTATTCAAAGCTACTTGAATTAGTGGGTAGATTTCTGGGAGAGCTTGAATTCATATTTCTTGAAGCCAGGGTTATTATCAAAAACAGATAGGTGCAAGGCCAATACGAGGGCGATACTCCATACCGTAGATCGCTTCGGCGAGCTACCCAGGGCCCTCAGGAGTGCAGAGCGCCGGAGGCAAC